TGGCGAAGCTGTGACGGGCCGGCTAGTATTTTATATAATTAATTAATTTATCAGTTATATTGTATGTAGGTAATTGGATTTTTCTTCTTCTTCTGGCCTATTATTACGGACCATTGAGGTCCTTTGCCGCTTCCACAACCTTCTCCACTGATCCCTATCCGTTGCCATGTCGATGCCGAAGGTGTTGTTTATTTTTGACAGGTCTCTCTTCACCGAATCAAATCATCTCTGACGTGGTCTCCCCAGGGGTCTCTTTCCAGTTGGGTTCTCCACTATAACCTTCAGTATGAGGCATCCTTCTGCCCGCCACACGTGGCCTGCCCATTCTATTCTCTTACTACGAACAAATTGGCATATACTTGGATTGTTAAAAAGTCTTTGTATCTCGTCGTTCTTTCTTCTTTCGAATATCCCTGAATTCATATTATACACTGGCCCATATATTTTCCTCAGAATTTTCCTTTCGAAGCTTGAGAGTTTTTCTTCATCTCCTTTTGTACTTGCCCATGTTTCACATGCATATGTTGCTATGGGGCGCAAATATGTGATATATAACCTCTCTTTCGTTCGGCGTGACAGAAGCTTTGATGAGAACATCTCCTTCATGGCTTCATAGCGTAATAGCTTCTATTCGCTGCACACATTCTAAGATTGATTTCTTGGTGCATATTATTTTTCTCGTTAATATTTACACTCAGATATTTTAATTCTTCCACTTGCTCGAATGAGTATCCATTTATCTTGATATTATTCCTTAGGGTCACCTGCCTTGACATAACCATATATTTTGTTTTGGCTTCATTAACTAATAAACCCATATTATGACTAGCTATAAATAGTAATTGGATTATATTATATATTATAAATGCTAAAAATCTTCGACCTTTTTTTAATAATTAGTATTTTGGGGGAGTGTTATGCTTATGACTCATGAGCCGGCAAAATATGTGTAACCCCGGCTGTAGCCTGTATTATACCTTAACAACACGGCACCGAGTAGCCTACATATATTATTATTGAATTATGTTGGTGGGACATGGAATCTATAGACTATTGGATGCTCAACGTTGAGGTGCTTCCAGCAGAATTATAAAATATGTTTAGACTTTAGGGTACTGTCCTTAGTCCGTGGCTCTGCATTTATGTTCGGCGTTTCGGCGCTTTTCTATGAGATAATTTTGCTGTTATCTCGGGGACCTAACTACCCGATTCCCATCCACGATTTAAGATAGTATGGTTGCCCGACGACCTATGATAAGATCGTTTTAAACTGGAAACCAAATTAAATAACCAGAACAGCTGGAAAATTGACCACTAGCGCTTGCGACATGATGTGTGCCAATATAGAAGCAGAATTTACGAGCTTATTATTTTTTCCCGCGCTTTACTAATATCAAATATGTACCTATTACCACAATTTTTATGAATAATCTGTTTGATGCATTAAACAGGAAATTTAGTGCAGAAGGAATAAAAAAAAACTCCCACGACATAGAGGTTTTTTGTGTTATGTACTTATGTGTTTGTGTTATGTGTTTGTGATATATGTGTTTAATATTTATTGTATGTGAATAGGTGTAATTAAGGGTTTCATCATAATATGGTTAAAAATCCTACACCATGTTAGATTTTAGATTATATGTTTTAAATATTTTATGAATTAACCTAGGCATGTGTACTTATATTATTTATATGTCAAATAGGTGTTAAAAGAAGCTTTGGCATGGATCAATACTTGGGAATCAAATTTAAATAATAATTTTATAAAAAAGGATGATTTTTTGACACAAGCCACAGCTGATGGTCTCAAAATAACTATTAAGTCAACCATAGATATTGTGGATTATTTATTAAATACTTGTAATTTTATGTATGTTTTGACGGCAAAATTAAACCAAGATCGCCTGGAAGTAAACTTACAAATAACTATACTTACTAACATTTTAAGAAAGAGCATTCTAATAGTTATTGACTTTATTTTGATAGGAGTTTTTTGGTATTATCCGTCAGGTAGCTGGACCAAATGACCATCCATCCACTCCTACATTTCTCCAGCTTTATAGGATGCTGTCTGTATATTCACTTATTAAACCACCTAAAACTGGTAACTGTACAATTTTTGAAGGTAGGTACCAATATGTTTGTATATTCTAACATTATTTTGAATAGGATGTACCTACTTAAAGTAATATTAAATATCTTTTTTAGACAATATTCCAATCATTACAATCACAGATTTAAAAGATGTCATTAATGACCCAACTAATTCTTCAGATAGAATTAATAAGATTGAAAAACTAAAAGAAAAAATTAATTATATTGTAGACAAGGGATGCTGGGATGCTGATGATGTTTTTACTGAGCATAATTATTCAAATTCTACTGTTTTTGATTGTATTGTGTATTATTTAGCCGGGTAAGACATTTTAATATAAGTACCTAGTTATTAGTTAGGTAGGTATTCTCTGAAATGATAAAAATAGATATTAATGTATAAATTGAATCATTTATAGATATATAGCAAAACAGTTAGTGGCACGGACTAAATGTGAATCGTGTAAAATATATTTAAAGAATATGAATACATCTTCAACTGTACCAGCAGCAGAATTAGTGAATGTAAAAAGTAGAGGTTACCTTACACATCCAAACACTAATTTATTTAAATTATTAAAGTCATTGGAGATATCTTTTGAAAAATTTGCTGACTCACCTACAGTTTTTGAAGATACATATGAAGATTTCTTTAGCAAAAATGTCAATATTAATTTTCCATGCATTGAACATCAAACAGATATTATAACAGATATCTGCACATACTATCTGATTATGAGAATGAGGCAATACAGCTATCAACTAAACCAAAACAATAAAAAACAAAATAAAGTTAAAAAAAAACTTTCAAAGTTGGTTAGTACGTGATGGATGGTATTATTAATTTTTTTTTTTTTGTGTTTCATATAATGTAATGGTATAACATTTGTATTTTGTATACAATTTTTTTTGCTGAATAAATTTTAAATAGTTATTTGATTTATTATTTACAAAATACTAAAGCATAGAAAGAGATTAAAGTATTTTAATTTATATTTATCAAAATTGTTATTAATTACTTACATACTTCTAAGTTCTAAGTCATTCGTTATAATTTTAATCGTAAATCACGAAGAAAATTTGAAATACTAAACAGGCAAACAGCGCGCCAGTCGCCACTCTGCACGGTATTTGAGCTTATAAACTATAGCCGCTGTTACATTCAAGCGCTAGTGGTTAATTTTCCAGCTGTTTTTAATAGTGATTTCAGTAAACACTTTATCATGATTCGTTGGGCAACCATACTATCTTAAATCGTGTTCCCATCACGGATAACTCTGATAACACCAAATTACAAGTTACAACATTGATATTTATTATTTTGTTATCCCTAAAGGTGATACACTGGTTTATTGCAATGATATTATTATTATTATTATCTTAATAATAATTCTTAACTCAATATTTAATTTACACGATGCACCGCTAGCTGTTTACTATTTTTGTGTTTAATGATGAATGCAGATCTACAATTATCGAAATAAATATTCATTACTAGAATTATAAATAGGTAGTATAGGAAGCTTTTAAAAATTGTAATTTAAAGTTAAAAGCGAGGTTAAAAGTGACAATAATTATACTATAGACTGGAGTATTAGGTAAGTAAAACATTTTTTATGATGTTTTCTGTTGTTATTTGACTTTTACGGGTACACAAACATTCATAATCATAATCGATTACTATGGTCAATAATTTATTATTAAATGCTAACAATTTTTTTTTTTTATTTATTATGAATAACAGTACTCTCATTAATCTGAATTTGAAGGTACCGGAATCGCCTAAAATCATTAAACGAAATTATTTTAAAATATTGTACTTAAAACAAGTTTTAGATAGGCATGTAAAACCAGAGGTAAACTATTAATACAATGTTTTTATTATAAAAATAACTTAAACAAACTACAAATAGCCATAGATTGTTTACAAGTTGTAAAAACTATATAAATATACTTACTTTTTTTTTTTCATTAGTCCGTTATTTTTTGTATCAAAACATTTGGTCCAACAAATTTCACTTATAAATTGTATAGAGTTTAGTTGATAGTTTTGCTATAGATACTGATAGTATGAAACTAATTACTGTATTAAACGTAACCATTGTTAGTACATTAACTAGGGATGTTAAAAACTGTTTGGTTTAACCAAATACATAACAATTAGATTTGAAGATCAATATTTGAATTAAATTTGTTAAAGCCTGTGTGGAGTCGAACAATTTTAAAACTACTGTTCTATAGTATAATATGTGCTTCATTTGGGGATTAGTGTAATAATTTTTCTAGATATTCTTATTCTTACTTGTTACATTCAGTAGGCTCTACCATTATAATATATGATAAATAAATATGAGGAATTATAACTTAGAAGTTGAGTATTACTCTGTACTCTGTAGGTATTTACTTATCTATTTGAATTTTTTTTTTAAATTTACCACCCTCTTAAAAATACTCCTTATTGAGTTGTAGCAGAATATTTTTTGTGTTTATCCATTAATTTTAACATATATATTTACTATAATTGTATTTTTATAAATATGGATGTAAGTACTTTTGTCTTTTTTCCATTACGAACTTAACCATATATTTTAATTACCTACTATCTTGTTTTTAATTATTTAATTTTATAACATGTTAATAATCTTTTAAAATATAACAATACGAATCAATGGTAAACACTAAACTTACATATTTAGTTAAAAAGCTTAATTATAATTTATGAAGTTAAGATATTTGATGATTAATAAAAAATAATTGGTTGATACAAATTTTTATTTTTAGAAATGTGTTTGCACATGTAACCAATTCAATTTAAATATTTAATACTAATACATATCTCTTTACTTTTATTTTAGGTACTTCTGTAACATTAAGATCCTCAATGCTATAAATTTGAATTCAAAAAAATGTTGACTTTGAATTCTAAGTCTCCAACTGTTGAAAAAAATGAAATGAATACAGTATCTACTTCTGATAAAAAAAAAGTTACTCCATCGAAAATAATTAAGACAAACGTTACTGGCAAAAGACCGGGTCCAAAGTCTAGTAAGTTGTGTTAAAATGTAAAATAAAACACCTAATATATATTTGAAAAACCTCCATTCCCAGACACCACACTACTTAACTTATAAAATTCATCCATTTATCTGAACCACATTATGATATATTTTTGATTTACAATATCTATACTTATTTTAGTTGTATTCGTTATTTTGTATTCTCTCTATTTTAAACTTTTTTAAACTATCAACCATAATACTATAAATTGTTAAGTACATACTATATAGTATAATACTATATATTAAGTTAAAAGTAAATAATCTTGTTGTTGATGAGTAATAAATGATTATTGGTATACTTATGTAATATTAATATATTATATTAGTGTTTAAAAGACAAGTTCAAAAATGCTTCTCGTTAAAAGTATACTATAATATTAGTTAAATATTTTTATTTTATTTATTTTTGATCAATTTTGATTATTACTTTTATGTTACCGGTTTACCAAGACTATTTTTTCTTAAAATGGCTATTATTTAATATATTTCATATTTATGAACTTAGTATAATATTATTGAAATAATTTATATTGGTTATACATATGAAATTAAAATTTTTTTAGAAACATGTGTGCCACAGTTAAAAATTGAAAAAATGACTTCAAATCCACCAAACAAAAATGATCTAAATTCAAAACAAGCAGATAGTAATGATGTTGCTAGTTCCAAGGATTCAAAAATATTGTTATTAGATGCAAGTAATGCTGATATAACTGATACTGTTAAAGCAGAATCCAAGAAAATTGATACTAATACAGCTCAACAAAATGAAGCTGAAATTGTAGATTTAATTCCAACTCATAAAAATAAAACTGTTATTAAAATAGATACATGTGCTAGTACAAAAAAAAATAACGAAGACAGAATAACTTCCATACAAAATGATAATGGTATAGTAAAAACAGAAAGTAATGAAATAAAACAAACTACAATCTTAGATAGTTTTGATCCTGGTGTAAAATGTAAAGTCTTAGAAGAATGTACTATAAGTTCCAATAATTTAGATGAAGAAAAAAATAAGAATATTATTAATAGAGTAAAAGAAGTTACACCAGAACCCAAAGAAGAGGAAGATAATATACAAGATGAAGAACTAGATCATGAAATATATGAAGAATTGGATCATGAAGTTGATGAAGACGAAATAAATGAGAGTAGTGATAGTTTTAATCCAACTCATAATACAGTAAGTTTAATATATAATAATGTATTAGAGCTTGCGCTAAGGTATTTTTAAAATTGCCTAACATATTTGATCCTATCTGATCCTGAAATCCTACCTCGAAGATCGGTTCTTTTCCGTTCGTGTAGGTTCTTCCTTTTCCTCTCCTATTGAAATAAAAGCAGGCGTACCACAAGGTGCAGTAATTGCTCCCTTACTCTTCAATCTCTACATCTCTGACCAGCCTACCTCACCCCATACTTTAGTCGGTGATTTTGCCGATGACAAAACCATATTAACAACCAGCCCAGATCCCGTTTTAGCCTCCTACATACAAGATCATCTCAACTCCCTTGAATCTTGGTACAAAACATGGGGTATAAAAATGAATGAAACCAAATCCATCCACGGTACCTTTGTACTTCGTCACGGAGTATGCCCAACACTTTACCTCAATAATGAACCACTTCCTCCTGCACAGTGTATACGTTACTTTGGAATCCTTATTGACCTCCGTCTCACCTGTAAACCTCACATAATTAGCAAAGCCCGTACACTTAATGACCACTTCCGACTCCTTCGACCACTTCTAACATCAAAGCACATGAAACTCTCCAATTAGCTCCAGCTTAACAAACTCCTACTCAGACCCATCTGGACTTCAACTATTGGTTAGGTTATTCAACTATGGGGCGCTGCCAAAATTTCCAACATCAACCGCATTCAAAGATTACAATCCAAAACTCTACGTACAATTCTAAAATCACCATTCTATGTCTCTAACCATACCCTCCACTCTGATCTCAAAATACCTTTTGTCTTTGAACTAGCCAAAACTCAATATAAATGTTTCAATAGCCGTCTAGCCCACCATAAGAATCCCTTAATCTCCGATCTATCATCCGCTTCTATCCCAGGTAACCCAAAAAAGACTCAAAAGACAGTGGTGTCGTGACCTGCTAGCCTAACTACTCATGTCGTAGTACCTCCGCTGGGAGGCCTCTACAGTCTGACTGATCTGCCTTTTTATTTTTAACCTATAAACCATCAATTGTTCTTATTGTTGCTCTTTTTTTTTGTAACAGATTAAATAAAATCATAATATGAATAAAAAAAAAAAAAAATATATTTTTGTGCAAGTCAATATTCCGGAAACTAAAAATGTTTAGACACCATAAAAAAATTTGTCACTAATTAAAATGATCTAAAAACTTCACCATTATTTTCAATTGGCCATTGAGGAAGAAGCAGCAATCTTTTATAAACTATAATTTATGAGATTAGAAAACCACCAAAATCTATTGATAACGGCTTATATTATATCCATTCTCTCTCTGGAACATTGATTTACAAAAAAAAGTACCATGATCCTCTAATGCAGCATTTCCCTAACTTTTCCTTTGCAGGACCCCTTAAAGGTTATCAAAAATGCTTGTGGACATCGTAATAATTTGTAGACCCCCTTCATACATGCAGACCCCGAGGGACACAACAGTTTGGTAAATGGTGCTCTAATGTATCAATCCTAATCCTAGTGTCACTAATCAGTGATTTCTTAACCACGCAACCCTAATAATGTGTTTATATCCTTGCTTACATATACTCATTGTGCTTGTTGCATAGATTGTATTTTTATTATTAAAAAAAAAATTGAAATATGTTATTATCTGAGAACTTAGGTATTAGACTAAATATATGTATATTTACAATATATTATTTATTGATTAGAACTACCCATCAGCGCCAGCTCTATTTAATTTATACAATTAAAACTGTTGTCAAATATTTTATTTTTAATTAATTTAGGTAAAATCTGTTCAAGAACATAACAAGGATGATAATAATGAAGATTCTATCAACTTGACGATTGGAGAAGATGATATTAAATTATTTGCTGACGAGGTAAATTAATATTTTATTAATCAAGCGCATACATTTTGTATTGTTATTATTTTTAAGTATTTAACATTTTGATAGTAATAAAAATTAATTTTACTTGAGCTGTTTACTGTTTATATAATATGTTTATTAAAATTCTTCTTTACTTATTAACAGAAATAAAATAGTAATGGTGATCTACCTAAGTTTTTACATGAAATTATATTTTAAAAGTAAACTAATCTAGAATTTATTCTTTATATTATTCAATATTGACGTAACAAAAGTGGTAGTTACCTAAAAATGTATGTGATATGGATGCGCTTATAGATGTTTATTTTTTACTGCTTTATAAATCACATTAATCATATTACATGATTGAAATTATATTATTTTTTAGGTTTTTTAGTTATATTTATATATTATTGTGCCAACTTATAATTTCACCAGTGTTTTTTTTTTTTTTTTTCAGGAAGATACAAACATTGAAAAAGAGGGTAATAATAAATTTAACTACTAAAAATTTATAATTTTTCTAATCTATTGTCAAAAGTTAAAAATATGCAAAGTGTTGTTTTTTAAGGAGTATCAAGTAAGATATTGAATATTAGTAATGTATCTATTTTGTTTAATGTATATGTATAAATGTCTATTTAGTTAGCTGTATCAATTTAGTATTTGTATATTTGTATATTTTTATGTAAATATATATGTATATTATATATCTAAGGTGCAATTTCTGCATAATGAAAACTAGAAGACAAGTTTATAAACAAGAAATAACTGATTTTATCAAATGTTTGATAAAGTTTCAACTAAAAGAAACTTGAAAACCATTGAAGCAATTTTCAAAAAATTATCAGATATTCTGGACGACTGTTTGACAATATTGACACAATACTTAATATTTAGTAAAAAAAATTGTCTTTTTTAAATTATAATTTAACATTATTAAGTTATAATAACTTAGTTATTTATAACTAGACAATATACACCTAATTATTAACTAAAGAAATACTCACATCCACAAGAAAAAAAATTATTTATAGCATTACATAATTTTCTAGGTTAATCATTTATTTTAAATTTAGTTAAATTTATTTATTATATTTAGAGAAAATGTACAGAAAATGTGGGTGAATCTTATTAACATTTTTCTTAGCAAAGATAATTTGAAATCAATATTATATATTTTATTTAATTAAATAAAATCCATGCCTTAAAACCCTTCATTTTGTTTTATAATATTTCTATTATCTATTTTCATATAATTTTTTAACATTTGTTATTAATTTCTTAAACATATTTTAGTACAGATTCAAATTATGCTAATTATATGTTAGTTATTGCTATTATGGGTATTTTGTGTTTATGTATATTTAATTTGTGTGACGCAATATAGACGAAGTGATCGAGAACCATACCAAAGAAGTAACTTCAACAATCAAACAGCGTGAATCTTGCCATCTAGTTACTGCTAGTAGCAGATCATCAACTGGATTGGTAAAAAGCCGCCGCAGTGCAACTGAGAAGCATTTATCTGTTGGGGATAAACCACGGAGCACCCGCAAAGAGGACAAGGACATCAGCAATGCAAAACCCATCATCAATGTCAGTGTGCCCAAAGATGAGAAGAAAGAAGTGGAAAAACAAGTTAAAGATAAAGAGGAAGCAGGCAATAAACAGAGGTTTGTTTTGAACACTGTCTCGACAACTGATTTTTTATTCCCTTCATTGGAATATTGCGCCAAGGATCTGATATATGACTGTCAATTTTAAAAAACCGTTATTTTCATACCTTTTTTAGTACAGCTAATTTTGATCAAATACCCCATTTTAGTTACTGAAAATGGATGAATATGTTTTCTATACATGAAAAATGTATAGTAAATAATAACTAGCATATACCAACATGCATGTTAGTATTAATGGAGGTTATAAGTTTCTATTTTACATATTTTGGGTTTAAAATAGTGTGGAAATATATTTTTTATTAATTAATTAAAACAAATGTATTTACCAATCTTTCAAATATTAGGCAATTTTAAATAGATTTCATTTGAGTTGAGTTGTTTAAGTATTGTGAAATCAATTTAGTATTTCATAAGAATACTATTTTCTTATGGGAGCTTTATTTAAATTTGGTATTTAGTTTATTTTTAACTAATAATGTTAAAAATGTAGTCATTTTTTTATGATTTTATTTTAAACTTAAAATGATTTATTATTATTTAGATGGATAAAAATAGTATTTAATTATTTACTAGCTGCATTACCTGACTTTGTCCAGGTTAAAATTAATTTATATTAATATCGTGTTCTATTTTGCTTCCGATGAAATATATAATATTAACACAATAAATTATTATGATTTCCACTTTTTAATACTGAACATATTTTTTATGTTAATTCCAAACGGTAGAGATAGATTCAATAAACGCTTATTAGCCAATGGTAAATATCATATTGTTAATAAAGCAAATCATTAAAGTTTATATTTAATAGCTGTTACTCGTGGATTCTATTCTAATACCCTTGCATTAGACCCCAAATAATATTTCTGCAAAATTTGGTGCCAATTAGTTAAAAATCTGTGGATTTGCATATTATACTTAATTTCATTTAGTTATATAATTTGACTAATAATATCTGTATTATCTATAAATCGATTGAGTATTTTTTTTTACTATAGAAACCTCAACCATACACATTGCCTTGCTATTACTCAATTTCGCATTTATATAGAATGGCTTTATTAAGCTAAATGATAAAATAAAAATTATCCTCTATAATTATTATAATTGAAGATAATACTCTTAATAGGATGTCAGCTCACCATTTGTTATCCATTTCTGACCCAAACGCGCGACATGATAAAATTTAGCAGAACCAACCCTGTGTTGTTACTTTTAATATTAGGGTGAATTCACCTATTATCAAAATTTAAATAAATGATACTGATTGTGTCACTATGTTGGCTTTTTAAAAATTGTATGGAGTTGTGAGCATTTTTGAATTGTAATAATTTATAGAACTTACATTAAAATAAAAGTATCATAAAATACCCAACATATTGACACAGGTAATGTTCTTAACTTAAAATTTGATAAAGGTGAATTCACTCTAATATTAAAAGTAACCACACAGGGTTGATTCTGATAAATGTACATTTGCTATGTTGGGCATAGGCCAGAGAGAGAAAACAAATTATTCACTGATATCCTCTTTAGATAGTTTAATACCAAAACAAAAAAATGATTTAACACATTTTGTGAATGCGTCTATGTTGAACATGAGTCGGAGAGAGAAAGTAAAAAGTGTGCTGACATACTCTTAAGAGGACGCTATACCCGCATGCGTTGTCTCCGTCTTACAAATGCACAACATAGCAAAAAACTGTTTTGCGCGGGAAAGAACCGAGAAGGCTACAATCATAACTAAGAAACGATATTTTCACCACATAAAAAGAAGAACTTTGGCTGTGCAACGTTGTTTTTATTTTTTTGATATCATTTATATGAAAAAAGTTTTTCAAGTTTGAAAAACACAAACAATAACGGTTTTTTAAACAGTAAGAACTTTTTTCATATAAGTGATATCAAAAAAATAAAAACAACGTTGCACAGCCATAGTTCTCCTTTTTATGTGGTGAAAATTTCGTTTCTTTGTTATGACTGTAGCTTTCTCGGTTCTTTCCCGCGCAAAATAGTTTTTGATATGTTGTACATTTGTAAGACGGAGACAACACATGCGGGTTTAGCGTCCTCTTAAGTAATTCATAAGATTTATTAATTTTATTTTCCAAATATTTATACTATTTATTTTAAATTTAATTATTTTCTTTTACTGGATGATTCTTTCATCTCAATATATTGAGATAAACATTTTTTTAATTTTAAGTTCTTAATTACACTATTTTTACTTTCATAACAAAGCAAATTATTTTATAAATTAACTATAAAAAACAGACTATGCTCACACTAAATAAAATCAATTGCATAACCAAATTACCTAATTTTATATTTTACAATAAAAAAACTATTTTGATTTCACAATACCATGTTTAATATTAATGAGAATTCACAGAACATGTGTTTGTTCCAAAAAAAAAAAGATGCCTTATTCCGTATCATTCGTGAAAAAATCACTCAGATAGAAAATTGGTACATAGATACATTTTAATTCAAGGAGTGGTAAATTCAAAATAATATATAATTTTTAGAGGAATTAAGTTGAAAGTTGTTAACTTAAAAGTCACTTGAAAATGAGTGAGTTATTGCTTTTTGAACAAACATTTTACTATCTTAGTTAAGAGTCTGTATCAAAATCACATGATAATACAATATGAATTTATATATAAAGGTTTATATAAATAGTATACATATTCAATATAACTTGAATATTTAATATACCTAATGTACAATACAACATTTAAGTTAATATTCACTAACCTATTTATTGAAATGAATAAAGATGGTAATTTCAAATATAGATGGATATTTCCTGAAGAGAGAAGTCAATTACTAATGTGAATTTATGTAGTGTAACTACAAGTATAATATGTGTAAAGAGATTTTTATTTATCCAATGTGGACATTAAGAAAACAAGTCAATACGTATAAGATAAAGAATTTGAAGTAATAGATATATTACTGAAAGAAATATCAACTTAAAATGAATGTTGTTGATAAAAAAATACTGATATTGTATTTAACATACTTATTAATATCAAAGTATATATTATTGTTATTTTGTGAAGCAAAGATAATATTGATTATTGGAACAATTGTGCAATACATATATTGTATTAAAATAGAGATATTCAAGATAATACTGTCTGGTGAAATTAATTAAAGATGAATTAAAAATTGGTTTTATATTAAGACAATGGTAAGTCATCAATATCAGACAACTTTGGCACATTGAAGTAATGCCAATTTTGATCAATATGTACAGATACTATTCAGATACATGTATAAAAGTACTTCTCCCAAAATCAAACATAAAGTTATTTTTTCAAGTGACTTGAGTATTGAATATATTTCTCATAACTAAGTATAAAAAACTGTAAATAGTTTTTAAAATACTATTAATTTTGTATGATGATGACAATGATTTGATAGTTAAATGCAATGTGACTTAGGCATAGAAAATATACTATGTCTATGTATATATATTTTTATAACCGGTTAAATATATTAATAAACAATTTTTGTCAAAGTGAAAACTGGAAAGTAATAATTTGATATACCTACTTTTTGTGTGTGAAAAAATATATTTTGTTTGTTAACCAAAATTGTAAATAAATAATTTTATAAACATTTTTAAACACATTTTTGTATTTAATATTTTCAGTAATAGTTCAATGGCTCAACAAATATCAAATGACACATGTAAGTTTTTATAATCTTAGTTGTTTTAAAAATCAAATATTGTTCTTTTAAGATTTTGAAAAAAAAGTATGACTGTTTGTTTTACATATTATTTTATTAACACTTATTTATATAAACGACAATACAATATAATATGTAAAATAAAAAATCAATTTATACATTTGTTATAAATCCGGATATAGGTATAAGTTTGGTTATAACAATCTAATTCTATAAACTCTATTACAAATAAGTTTGGAAAAACTGCACAGCCTCGGAACGGTAGAGCCGCTGTGATTGGCCAGTAATCGGCAGCCAACGAGACTGCACTTGTTCGAGCTGCAACACAATTTTGCCTTGATTTTTTTCCATGCTTATTTGGAATAAAGTATAGGTCCCTTAAAAATTTTTACAAGAGAATAATTCGACTATTTACAATATATTTATGGTTAAGTACATACTTGTGTTAGGTACACTTTTATGAATTATAAGGAACCACATTTGAAATCTATTTGTAAAATGCAATATAAAATATTCAAAATGTACAATTTCTTGTGAACAAAATAAATATAATATATAATATGTATTCTAAAATTACGCTTAACGTGTGTATGATTATGATTTATATTATTTATATTATGGTTTATTATAGCTTTTAAACTATAGATACTTGAGTGCAGTGGCGTGGTGAACATTTATAAACCTTGATGCCCAGCATATATTTCAGTACCTACCCCTTCTTTATCCCCTTAATATAATATATAATACATATAATTATTATGGAACTGTAAATATTTTAATTTTTGTTGTACGTTATTGGTTACCATAATGTACCCAACCTTACCACCCCAAAAAAAAAATATTCACCATGACGCCTAGGCGTCATAAAACCCCATTCACCACGCCACTGCTTGAGTGTCCTGAACAATTCAACAAATATCACCTTGTAATTCACTTTTTAAAATGTGTTTTAGCAAAGAAAAACAATTCGTCCTTTGTACGCAACATTTGGGTTAGTGGCTTGTCAACGATTACTAAGGCTACTGATTTAAAACAACTTTTTTCAAAATATGGAAAGGTAATATTACTGATAACTTATATTTTAATAATTGTTACCTAGTTATATGTTTAATCCAGTATACTTAAATTTTATAAATCATAGATCTATGAAAACCGTTTAATCAAACATATGCTATGAGTGTTTTAAAATATTTTTTAAAAATATGTATTGATTGAATTATTATGAAACTTGATTTTTAAAATATTAGTTAAAAAATCAATTTTAATTGGGAACTATGCTCTGAAATTAATTATGGTGATTTGTTTGTTTATATATTCTCCATATTAACACTATCCATTGTTCTCTAATTTAATTTTACTATCAATCAGTTTTTGAACTCCATGTTACATTATTCACTAGAGATAGTACATGAATTATTTTTAATTTAATGTGTTTGTGCGGTTGTTTTTATCATTAAATTGTTCATTCTATATAATAACTCATTTAGAGAATTTGTTGAATAAACTTTTGTATCAACATTTCAGAAAACCTAATTAATATTTTGGATGCTCAAAAGATTTCTAATTTATATTTATGATTAACATGAAACTAAAATTTGTTCATTAACTTTTTATCTTACATAATATATAATATTTTAAATGCAGTAGAACCTGTTTACGGACATCCCTTTTATCATATACAGTGTAACCTCTAAATACCACTAGGGAGAAATGTTACTGTTCACGTCCCTAATAGACAGAGTCCTATTTAGATATGTAAAACAGTTAACACCTTATTATTTTACTCGCTGGAGAGGTATCTGTTAAATACAAGTGTCTATTAAACTAGATCTCACTTTGATTAAAATGTGTTGTTTGATTGTTGTTCCATCATTTAATTAGTAAATTATTTGATTGCATATTTCACAATAATTTTAATTTTAGGTTGTTGGCGCAAAAGTTGTGACAAATGCCAAAACTCCAGGAGCTCGTTGTTATGGCTTTGTTACATTGTCCTCAGCAGAAGATGCTAATCGTAGTATTGAAAATTTACACAAGACTGAACTTCATGGACGTGTTATTAGTGTTGAACGAGTTAGTATTTACAATTTATTTCTTAATTAAATATTAGTTTAAAATAAAAAAAAATCATTGATTATCATTTAGGCTAAACGTGACAATGGTTATCAAGTGACAGCAAAAGGTTCTGATTCATATAAAGTAAATGAAAATTCTGAAAACTATCAAAAAACTAAAACAATGAGGAAAGAGAAAGATAAGCGAGAAGAAAAAAGAGAAAGAGACCTGAAATTACATTAATGATGTTAAAAACCAGACTTGTCAACTATTAAGCGTGGTTAGTATTCTTGATTTCCTGTTTTGGTTTCAATTAATCTAGATAATATTTTATTAATTTATGCAGCATCAAAAGATCAAAGTCAAGATTCAAAACGTACTAAAATTGTGATTGAAAGTGATGAACATAGAAAAGACAGAAGCATTAAAAGTAAAAGCAATGAACGTGATAAAGAACGAATCAAGGAATTAGAACGAGAAAAAGAACATTTAGAAAGAGAAAAAAGAAAACAGCAGGAGATATTAAACTTAACTAAATTGAAAGTAGCTATTTTTTATTCTAAATAATTATTTCTTTAAATATAATAATTACAATAAAAAATTTGAAACAAAACACGTTAATCCATTATGATGCACCTTTTGTTTTTGGTAACTAAAAAAATTGCTATTTGTAAACAATTATTATTATTTTATAATTTATATAGTTGTAAACTAATAATTAAAACTGTTCTTATTCTATATCATTTATTTTATTAGACTGAACGTGAAAAGCTAAAACAAAAAGAACATGAGAGAGCGATGAGGGAAGAAGAACGTAAGAGACGCATAGAAAAAGAACGTCAATTAGAAATTGAAAAAAAATACAAAGAAGAAGCAATTCGCCTAGAAAAGTATTTTAAATACAAAAATAAAAAAGTAAACCCATGTTATAATTTTTTATTTTTATTTATTTAGAGAAAGACAAAAACTTCGAATTGAGCGTGAACGAATTGAAAAGGAAAAATCTGAACTATTGCGTTTAGAGCGTGAAAATCAACGTTTAGAACGAGAAAGATTACAAAGAGAAAAGGAAGAGTTACGTAGAGCACAAGAAAAGTTAGAGGAAACAAACGCCAAGCAATACTAAAGCGTGCTATGCCCCATCTCCACCACTTCCTAGTAAAAGACATTCTTCATCAAATTCATCTCGATATGAAGAAAGGTACACATTTTTTAAATATAAAAATATTTAATTTCTTGCATGGTTATTAAGAGGACGCCACACCCGCATGTGTTGTCTCCGTCTTACATATGTACAACATAGCAAAAACTCTTTTGCGAGGGACAACTTTTCTCGCACCATATTTGTTGTAGAACTACCAATTTTTCACAGCACTTAAAGAAGAACTTTATCTGTGCAACAGCGTGCTCTTTTTTCAATAGCACCATCCAATCATTTTTATAAGCAAATTAAAAAACCAAATGTTGAGAAGCAAATAACTTGTATTGTATATATGTTATTGAAAAAAAGAGCACGCTGTTGCACAGGTAAAGTTCTTCTTTAAGTGCTGTGCAAATTTGGTAGTTCTACAACAAATATGGTGCGAGAAAGTTTGTCCTCGCTTAAGAGTTTTTGCTATGTTGTACATTTGTAAGACGGAGACAACACATGCGGGTGTGGCGTCCTCTTAATTGATCACTATTGTTTATTTTCAATTTATTTCCTTACAGAAAAGAACCAATTCGTAGTTCTCGTATTCAGCCTAGTACTGACTATATGAACAACCCAGCACCTCCACCTCCCAACATAACATCATCTAGACATCGCTATGAACAGCATTCTTCAGAATCCCGTCGTATGAGACCATCACACCCATCACCGCCCCCTCCTCCACCACCTGCATCAAGACCAAAAGACTCTACTGTGAACATCAGGTATTATTTGAATACTATTGTAGATAAACTTAAGAAAAATTCAATTTAATTTATTTCAAAATTCTTATTTTCATTACTGTTATTCGTTATGATTACAGTCCATAAGAATTTTGTAAAGAAAGATTCAGCCATTTGACAGCTAGATATTTCAATAATAATTATCTTGGTTTGTACAGGCAATGACACAATTTTTAACAAATGTTAATGTTTTTCCATTTTACTTATTTTATTAAATAAAAATTCTTTCATATTATTATAAACTGGTGTAATGTTTATATTATTTTTGAACTTTGTACAATAAAATTCGACTATTGACAGCTTTTTTTTTTTTTTTTTTTTTTTTTATTGAACAAAATTGAACAAAAAATGTTATTTACAATCTATAATTACATGTATTACAATAAGTAAATGGATGGGGATGATTAGCGGGAGGGGAAGTCACCCAGCGACTATTGACAGCTAAACAATTATTTTGGTATTCGTTTATGTTTGTACAGGTTTAAGAACATTATTATAATTTAAATAATGAAAACCTTTTTTAAATGTTCTCATAGATTTAATTACTTATTAAAAGTATTTATTATTATTGAATGTTTAGATATGGTGCTCAACTAGCAACAGATCATCATTACAGAAGTCGTGATGATCGATCAGATCGAAGAGATGAATCTCGTCGGAAAGATTCAAGTGGTGGAAGTAGTAACAGACATGCTCATGTGCCATATGATTCAAACAAAAGTTGTAAGTCTTCAAAAAAACAATTAATAGATGCTTATTTATTTCTGTATCACAATTACACTCAATTTCAGCCTATGGAATGTCACGCAATAGTGAAAGTAATAGCTGGTCATCAGCCGCAATAAAGAATTCTTATGGCACAGTTGGCTCAAGCTCTGGAACCAATACTATGGTAATAAGTTCGAGACCAGATCCGTGGTCACATAATACTTATCGAGATGTGGATTCAAGTATTTGGCAACGTCCAAGTCAACCACTACCCGAGAAGTATGTTTTTAATTTTTCAACTATTGATTTAGATAATTCCCATACAACAATTGTATTTGATGTCGTAGGTGGAACAGCACACCAAGCAATCCTTCATCTATGCCAACAAGTGGACGTAGTTCTAGTAGTAATGCTTTGTACAGTAATAACCATCAAGTTATACCAAACATAGGGTTAAACATGTCAACAAACTACACTGATAGTAGATTTGACAGTTACAAAATGAGTGGCATGTCACGCAAATATTGAACTGTCAAAAATATCTGGCAGTTGATCATAGCACAAAACATTCCTTTGTCTGTGCTCTTCGTTTTATATTTTGAACAGTGGGTAGAGGAATATGAGCCCTAAATTGTTCTATATTTATTTTTGATTAAGTGACTTAATTTCTTTGCACTTAGTTTATCATTTATAAAAAGGTTTTAATTTTTAGTTGAATGTAATAAATTTTAAAGATATGTTACTGTATACATTTATTATAGTTTTGCTCTTGTATACGTTTTATAAAAATTTAATAAACTTAACAATTTCTCAAATCCCAGATTACTCATTACGTTTAAATATCATTAATGTATTCCCTATCACATCCATTCTATTATTCAAGTTTTGTATGTTTATTTTTTTTTTGCCTGGAAAGATGTCAATACTAAAAAAGACAATTAATTATTAAACTCTTTATCCTGTGCAATTTTGTTTTCTTTCTAAAAAAAAATAGTTCATGATATTATTCAATGTGTGCAAAATATTTTAATTTTGGCCTTTTATATGATAATACATGTTTGTTCTTATGTAATTTAACCAGTTCATCTTTTTAATTAAAAAATGGGTACATCTATACATTTTTAAAATAAATAAACAATATCTAATCTATTGTAAATTTAGTATTTACTATGATCTAATTTTTATAATAAAGTTTAAACATTGATCATGTAATTATTGTTATTCATTTATACAAAATTCATGTGTTTACATATTTTATAAACACTATAGATTAGGATGGTTCTTAAAAATGTAAATTAAAACCTTTGATTTATTACTTAAGTTAAATTCATTAATAATATAAAATTGTTTTTTGTTTCCTTATTAGTTGTTGATTCCAGATCAAAAGCAACTATTAAAGTAAAATCATGTCGTTACTTTTAAATTTTATTACCAATCGCTTATACTATTTTTTTTGTAGATATATACATTTTTGTTATCCCAGTTACTTATAGTTAAATTGCTTTATTCAGAGAAATTTTTCTAAAAAGTCAAAGTATTAATATGTTACATATTATGTAATCGCATTAGTTTCGCAGCTTGCTACTGAACAGAAATATTCATAATTTGCTAAAATAAAAAGATTACACAATATAATAAAATAAATCAAAAACTTGCAATTGTTTAATATAAAATTTAAAAGTTATGCAATATAAGTGGTTTTAAATTTTTACTTATGAGTAACATTTAATTCTTGTGATTTTAATACACGAAATTAAATATTATACAACTTTAAAAGTGATAATATATTATTTTCAAGTCTATAATAGTTAAAAACTAAAAATATGTTTTTTTATGTATATAAATTATAAACTAATACTATATACACACAAGACTTAATAATTAAACATTTGGTTTATTTACTTTTCATTAGATAGATTAGATGACTAATTTATTTAAATGAGAAACTATTTTAAACAGGAAATTGACTAGTAACAATGTAACACTAGCTGAACTTTTGAGATATCTTTTCAGTTCTTACAATTTCATATTTATACATCAAAAATTCCGTTCAACTTTAATTAATATTTTTTACAATGGATTATATTGCTGCATGAAAATTTTGGGGAGATCTGGTCCATAATAAAGTTTTGTATTATTTCCTAATGATTCGATGCGTTTCATTTCTAAATATTCTTTAGTTAGTAATAATTTATTAGAATCGGCTTGCATTTTAATACGGTAAAATTCGGCATCTGCTGCACTCTTTTCTTTATCCAAATGAATTGTATCTAAATTGTCATATACAAACATACATATTAGATAGTACCTACGAAACAATTGTTTAGATATTTATACCTTCTATTACAGATATCTGTTTAATAGATTCTTTTTCCATAATTTTCTGTTCAAATTCAATTTTTGATACTTGTGCTTGCTTTTCAGCTTCTATAATAGCACGCTTACGTTCCGTTTCTGCCTCTTTTTCGACAACTTTTTGTCTTTGTTCAGCAATGAGCAGTTTAGTTTTTTCTGCTTCCCTGGAACAAACAATTATTATACATTGCTTAAGAGTTAAAAATTGTATGAAGTTTTTTTCATTACATGATTTCGTAGTTTTTGCGTATTGTCTCTGGTATTTTAGGTTTAGTAACACGTACAGCATGTACTTTGAGTCCAGGAGCCATTTCAGTTAAATCTTTTTGCAATGCCACTTTAAGATTTTCATCGATTTGATCAAATAGATCTATGTACACCTATAAAAATAAAAATGTATCTTAAATATTATTTCATAGTACATATCTACGTAAATAATATAAATCAACATTTACTTCATGTAAATTATGAACACTGCAGAACTGATTAAGTTCATGATGTACTTTATTAAATATCAATGTTTTGTCGTAATCTGCAGTATAATTCTTAACAATATCAAAAACTAGAAAAAAAAAAAAAAATAATAATAATCTCAATACCGATTTTAATAAGTTTAAATTTGTCAAAAAATTTTTATCTTTTATTAGATAGTTGACATTGATTGTGTTTTATTAAAATATCTAACATCACCCCTAGTTATTAAAATTTAATTATTTTAAAACATTAGAATAATGTGCATTAACATTTTTTGTTTCAAGTGATATAAAGCTACCATACCATACTATAGATTTAAGCGGAGCAGTAATGCTGTTGTGAATGCCAGTAAAACGTATAGAATTGGTGGTGTAATGCTGTTGAGTGGCTCACTCAGATCATAAGTTAGGATTTAGAGTTTACAAATAAGTTATTCTATGTATACATTTATTGAGCTCAGTGAGCTCATCCTGTATTTTCTTCACTATGTTATTTATAATTTTATATTTACTATCAAACTGCATACATTTGCCTGAAGATTATATTATGATTTTGCAGTTTAGGTGAGTTTTTACAGTTATATAAAAAATATATGAATCTTTTTATGTAATTTGATGCCTCGTAATATTGAAACCATTTTAGCAAATATGTTTTTAAATTATATTCACTATTATCTAGTTCAATGGATTCAATTTTTCTACAGTCATACTAGAGAAGGACCCAACTGATTCTGTCCTATGGGCTATGGTCATAATTCATGACATATTATAATAAATATAGTTGTATTTTACCACTAGAAGCATTTAGGATATTGACAACTTCAATTCTATCAAAATAAATCATTACACCACCACTTGTACCACAAGGAACATTTTTTACTTCATCTGTTTGAAGTGTAACCTGAAAATATAAAGGAACATAAATATTAAGATATAACATCTTTTTATGATCTGAAACATTAATGGTACGAAATACTTACTTGTACAGACCGAAAAGTTGTTAGGAAGGGCATCATGATGTGGTAACCAGGATAACTAATTTGGGATAATAACGCTCCACCCTACACCAAAAACACACAAATTTTTCATTAATAGATGTCAATTGCTGAATCACTAAGACATATTTACCCTATAGTAGACGGCCACATGTCCTTCATCGACTCTATGCAAGCAAAAGTGAGTCAGTGTGGCAGTCAGTAATAACAGCAAAGGTAATACATAGGATAAGTCTGCCATTTCTAGAATAGGTAGTTACAAAGAGGATATTTTTCAAATTCGTATAAATTGACAGTGCAAAAAGAAAGTGTTGTGGTGTAAAAAATTTGAAACCAAAATAATACTGACACCAAACAAAAACTTAATGTACAGAGAAGTTGCAGTTCACACATATACAATGAGAAACTATTAAAATAGTTTGAAAAAAAAAAATGAATATTATCTACAGAACAAAATAATCATAATATTGAATAGAATACTACTGAGTACAGTACCACCGTTTACTTAGAACTTAGAAAACATAAAGTAAACAAATGACATCACTATTCACTACATGCCTACATTAGGTAGACATTATTACAAAAATATTTAATTCGTTATTGACTACCTATTGTTGTCAATTGCTGTTATAAATAATAAATGTATACCATTATTGTGGAACAATATTTTAAAAAATGATTCATTAGATCAAAGTTGCATTCGTTTGTATTATCAAATCTCTACTGATAAGTAATAAAAAGCCGCTATACCACAGAACAATACTAGTATACCATAATACCGGTAGCCGGTCAGAATTTCCAAATTTGAAAATGTAAAATACCATTTTTATAAATAAACACTAACATTTTAAAATTGTATTACTCATGAAACTCAATTAATATGAAATAAAATAAACAATCCAATTACGAGGACTATATGATAACATTTTAGTTTCTAAACAAATTAGCTCTAATATTGAATTATAAAATTAGCTATAGTAAAATTAATTTAACCTAGAGACGCTGAATTAATAATTTTAAACAAATTACCTACTTTAATAGCAGTAATATCACAAAATATACTTCACAAACATTAGACGTTACAGTCAAATAATATATTATTGTTAATTATAATATAGGTATTGTTATTTTTTTTTTTTTTAATGACCATAGCTTTCAACACAAATTTAAAGTTCAGCTCTGGTTGGAGATTTCGACCCAGGAGAATACAAAAGTACCAGCCAACTTACTAATTTAACAAATAATAAATTTCAGAAAAATTAATTACTATATACATTGAAGTTGGAACATTGGTTCAACGTTGAAGTGAACAGGCTTATATTTACAATAACAGATAACTTACACATTGTCTAAGACCTATATAAGTATGTAACACACTATAAGTGAACAATTTGAATTAGGTATTAGCTATTAATGTTACAATATTTTTATATTAAATTAAAAATCTTAATCAATAATAGTGTGATTTTAGACTTTAGCATTTTAATAATTTCATCATTAGGTATCTATTTTATATAAAAGATCCATTTCTATCGCCATGAGCTAAACCTTAAAAGATTCTTTATAGTTCACTTTATGTACCTACTAGACACTAGTTAGTACAAAAACTGTGTGACTTTGCTTATATCTTTTTATTTTCTAAAAATATTTTTCTATAATATGCTTGCAATTTTATAAATTAATATATTTGAGTTAATTTTATTAGAAAATATTTGAGCTAAATTTTATTAAAATTTAAGTATTATCTACTAATCTATAATACGTAATTGTATTATTTTACATTTTAACATTTTATTTATAAAAACATTTTGCTAAATTTTTAAAATTGGATATTTTGGACTTTGGTTTTACTATTTTGACCTAGATTCGGTCCAACATCCCCCTGCAGAGAGTTATTTTTCACACCGCTTTAGCCTATTATTATTACCTACTCTGTGAGCCTATATAGGGAATTTTTAAATTCTACTATTCTAGTATTCTATAGTTGGAGAATTGAATAATATTGATGTTTACGTTTATGATTAATTACAATAATTATACCTACTATTGATACTATGTTCATGCAGAAAAGCAATCACTTCTTTTATCCATGATAACATTTTATTTTTAGGTTATGTAACAAACCCATTAAAAACAAACACATTTTTAAAACATTTTTGTGAAGTATGTAAATGTAATTACAAATAATTAATAGTTATTGAAATTTGAAGTTTTTTGTTTAACTTAATCATCATGAGGGAGATCATCGGTGGTTTCTCAGAATCTGGAAGATATTATGCTGAAATCGGTGTTAACGGTAAGGTTAACGTTTGGGATACGAGTGCTGGTGATTTACGACACACATATTCGCCAAGTGGACATCTAAACACTTCTGTCACCTGTATTACTTGGGTCCAAACAGATAATACTGACATACTTTGTATTGGTACACAAAAGGGTTACGTCGAGTTTTATAATGTGGCCAGTGGAAGTATCCAAACAAAAGTCAATGTTCAATCAAAAGCTATCAAGAGCATTAATCGTTTGGGTCAACATTTATACATTGGCTCTGATGATGGTCATGTTGTAAAGTTCGACTTGAAGACTAATAAATTAGAAGCAAAAATGAAAGTCGGTAAAATGTGTGCGGTAGCTGCATTACCCGATGGAAAGATGTTGACAGCATCCAGAGAAATTAAATTATGGAATTTTCCCTCTGGCGAGTTGATTCATAAGTTCACTGGTCATAAGAATGAAATCCATTCGTTACACATTATAGAAGCTGACAAATGTTATTTGTTGAGTTCTGCTAGAGACCGTTTTATCAATATATGGTCTCTTAGTGACCTTAAACCAGACCCATTAGCTTCATTAGTCGCAGAAGATAATATTTCTTCAGTGTATGTACATAATATACGTAACAACATCACAGTGACAGTAACAACAGAAAGTGGTACATTGCATGTGTTTGAACATGTACTTAATGGTTGTGTTGCACATCCACTTAAACCTCACGGAACCCTTCAAATAGCTGTTGATAACATCAAAGATGAAGAAACTGTTCAAATGCCCATTATATGTAGTAAAATTTATGATTCTGCAGTATATGTAGCCTATGGCACTAGGCCATTTTTGGCATTTGAAAACATTAAATTACAAAAACTAAACAAATGTACATTTATTGCAAGACAAGACCCAAGAAAATCTAAATCAGTCGTAGGGAACCATATTATTAATCCAAATATTACAGACTCTAAATGTATTGAACTGAAAAATAGTAGATCATCAAATTTACCACTTGAAACAAGACTTCAAAATATGTCAGAAGAAATTGAAAACACTGTTCAAACCAAAGGTGAAAGTATTGTTCATTTGTTAATACAAGGTCTTCGTAGCAATGATAAAAGTCTTTTAGAGTCCGCTTTATTTGTTAAAGATGAACGCACAATTGATAATACGGTTTCACGTTTACCGCTACAATCCATCATCATGCTTGTACGTAAGTTAATACGTCTATCACAAGACAGAACTCTGGTAAGTTCTGTAAGTGCTAAATGGTTGTCTGCTGTATTACGTATACACTCATCCCTGTTATTAGCTAATCCAGATGTTTTAGAAACGTTTCTGCCATTAGAAAATGTATTGAGTACAAGATTAAACAATTTTGAACAACTTGGATTATTAGAGTTTAAACTAAAATCTGTGGTTGACAGTCTAAACTTTGAAAAACGAGATAAAGAAAAAGAGCAAGATGCTCTTTTGGTATACAACGACTCGGATGATGAAGACAAAAGAACAACTGATGAAGAAGCTTTATTAACATACAATGAATCTAACAGTGAAGATCAAAGTACATCCGATGAAGAAGAAGCAATGGATATAGACTTGAATGGTGATGATCATCCTAGTATATTAAGGTGAACCTTTATTAAATTACCTCCAAATGTTGTTCTGTATTGTATGTTCATACAATTAATACCCATTAAGTGTCCTTATTTGTTTATAACAAAAATATTTTTGTTACAAAATATATCACTCAAGTAAGAGCGTACCATCTAATGTATAAAACATTTTCATACGTAAAGTTGAATAAAGATTTTGTAAAAATATATTTTTAATATTGTCTTTTTTAAATAATTTATTTGTAACTTTTTAAGTTCTGTATAATATGTTTATGGTTTATTGTTAAAATTATATTAATTTAAAAACAAAACAAAAAAGTTGTGACCAGTGATAAATACTGATCTATTATTTATTATTTTAAAAACTAATTGAAGTAATTTAAAAATGTTCAAGGTAGTGTGTATTCCAAACACTATTCTACTCTAAAATTAATAAAAATAATTTTATAGTTATGGAACATAACAGGTTTCAGCAATACCGGCTAAAAAAATTTAGCCATGATTATGAGTTTTGACTCATTAGTCATTACTCATAATATTATAGTTTACATACCTGGAGTTAGTGGTTGGTCTAAAGTCTTTAATATCAAATATCAATCCCATATTCCCATACAAAAATAAAATTTAAAATCCTATGTGCTGCAAAGATCACCTAATGAGTTGTAGCGAGTGTAAACTAAATCTCTGTAACATTGTTCATTTGAGGCTTGCTTTTATCTATATTCAGGTGCCATCATTATATTGGGTAATGAATTCCTTTAATTATTTAAATTATAAAAATTAAGTACAATAGCACTATTATAGGTATGGTACATTATTATTTGTAGTAATACAATTCATAATTTCATATATAATAGAAAAAAAAATATTAGAGATACCCATTACATGTAAATATTTAGAATATGACATATGTACAAGTATAATGATAAAATCATAGGTAGATTATAAATAATATTTATAATTTAATATTATAATTATAATTGTAAATTAATAATTAAATAATGTCTTAACATTTACTCATTACCTCCTTTTTATCTGTCATTATTACTCATATTTCTAATGACTAATGAGTAAAGAAATAATAATTACTAAATCAGCGTTTCTTAAACTGTTTTCCATGGGTTCCTTGAAACTCATTAAAATGAAAGAAATCCTGTTTGTCAGTCATTTAAAATATTTTCAAAACTTTTTTGATATTTAGGTAGAGCATTTTCTTTTTAGTTTTTAGGAAATGTTTATGTTTAAAAGGCATTTTCATACATTTTATAAGAATTAACTTGAGAACTAAACTCAATATCTTTCAAAAAAAAATTTTTAAATTAAATTAAATTTTTTTTACTAATATTTCTATTTGTATTATGTATTATTTAATACAAAATAATACTTGCCAATATTGTCAATGTGTTTTTATTTTAAAATATTAAATAGCATCTGATTAACCATCAGTTCTACAAATGCCTATAATAAAACAAAATATAACGAATATGCTTATCTAAATTTTATTTTATATTCATTTAAATTGGCTTTTAATTTTTCTGGGCATTTTGTTAACCTTTGTAATATTAGTGTATTAAATCGTATTTTTCTCTTTTTTATTGAATTTAAATCCATGCCCAATTCATAACTTAATCTTTATTATACCAAACGATTAATATAGGTATCCCTGTGGCCACATCTAGCACTCTAACCACTAGCAAATACTATTTATCATTAATAGTATTTGCCACCAGCCATTGACTAGGTATTTACTTAATATTAGGTAAAAAATATAATATTAATATATTGTGCATAGGTAATAGTAAAATCGAATTTTTATATAGTGTATACAATAAAAAAATATAATATTGGCTAGTATAAATAGTATAATGATAAATTGATAACTATAGGTACCTATAGTTTCGACCGTTCAATGTGTAGGTTCATTTATAAAAGTGGATTTATTTACTTGTTTTAGATTCTGAGCGGAGCGATGAATGTATTGGTTTTACAATGATGTATGTTTTTTTTTATATTTTTATATTTTTATTTATATTTTTGTGTCTGTCATCACGTTTTGGGACAGTAAAAGTGCTTCGATTTTCTTCAATAGTACCTTTTCTGATAGGAAAGTGAATCTAGTTGGTACTTTGGGGGGTCAAAAGTAAACATTTTCCAGTAGTTTTCACAAGCGCCGGGAAAAACAACATAAAAATTAAGGAAAAACGGGAATTTTTACGCAAAATCGATTTTCCAAAAAATCGAATTTGGTTATTGGTGTAACTTTAAAACAAATGACCGTAGATACATGAAATTTTCACTGGTTGTTTATATTTGCATTTTCTATACACGATAACATTTTCAAAATATTTTGATTTATTTTGAACTGTTTAGGGACATTTTCATTTTTCATTTTTTTTTTAGTTTTTTTTCTAGAAATATCAATAAAATTTTATTTGTTGGTTGCGAAAGCTTGAAAATTTAATAGAAGGCTCCTAATACGTTGTTTCAAAGGCAGATGAAAAATATTAAAAATCCTTAGTCACAATTTTTTTTTATAAGCATTTAAAGTTCAAAAATTGACAAAATATGGAAAAATCACGAAAATTAGCAAATTATTTTGAGTTAAGAATTCGTAAAAATTTTTCTTTTTAAATCTAAGATTTGAAAATGAAACACAAGATTCCTTATAAGATTATCTACCTTTATCAATAAAAAAATCTCTACCGGACAGTCAAATTAAATTTTTATGAGCGTTTGAAATTCAAATTTTTACAACATTGGATTTTCACTCGATTTCTCATGTAGCGATTTCCTTATTTTGTTGTAATTCAAAAACGAATAACTGTAGATACATGAAAATTTCACTGAATGTTTATATTAGCATTTCATATACACCATACAATTTTGAAAATATTTTGACTCTTTTTGAGCTGTTTATGGACATTTACAGCTTTCAATTTTTTTTAGTTTTTTTTTTCTATAAATATCAATAAAGTTTTATCTGTTGGGCCAAAAAGTGTAAAAATTTAATACAAGGCTCCTGATATATTGTTACAATATCAGTTGAAAAATATTAAAAATACATAGGCACGATTTTTTTTATAAGCATTTAAAGTTGGAATTTTGACAAAATTTATCAAAATCTCGAAAATTATCAATCGTTGGAATTAAAAAATTATAAAATGTTCAGTTTTTATAACTAAGAGTTGAAAATTTAAAACAAAGATTCTCTTAAATAATTCATACTGTAACCAAAAAATCTAAAAAATATATAAACACACTTATTTTTTACAGACATTTTAATTTCAAATTTAGACAAAATTTCATATTTAAACCAAGAATTACGATTTTAGTTATTTTGTTGTGATTGAATAATACTATTCGTGGGTACTTGAAACTTCTAAAATGTACTATTATATATCTATGATAGTATCACGGTTTTTGTTGATGTATAACGCGTTATAAGTATCTAATGGATATTGTGATATGATTAATTTGGAATTTATTATAGGTACCTATTATAGGTCAATTTTTTGTTTAATACCATAGATATGTATATAATATGCCTTATACATAGACTGACATACCATCACCGCTCAGAATCGTTTTTCTTATACAATGATATTATATCATTGAATTCAAATTTAATACCATCCATTATACAGTGACCCACTTGTAACCTACTGTACAGCAGAGCGACACCCACTTGCCCATCTTTTTTTTATTTTATTGTTGTGTGATTTTGTAATATTTACCTTACTTTTGGTTGTTTAAAATGGAAACTAAAAGAAGAGGTGGCGCTGCAAAGAAAATCAGAGAGAAGAAGCCAAGAAGGAAACTTAGAAAATCAAGATAGATCAGTTTAAAGTTCAACTTATGTTTTTCATCCGTTGTGACTCAGTTATAGTGTAGGTAACAGAAATGAAGTAATAGGTATTATGGGCACTATGTACTTAGGTTAAATTACTAGACACATTGAATCTTAAGTTGTTTCCTGAGAAAATTGAAGATGAGTGAAGGATGCATCCTCATTTGTTAAAACTTAAAACATTGTTACCATATTTAAGTTTTTACATTTTTTAATGACGAAATGGCAAGGGCCGGTCAAAACATAGATTTCCCGTGCCAAATAATTGCCTCAGTCCACTCCTGTATACACATTATTATTATAATTTTTATTGCAAATAATCCTTACATAAAAGTACTCTAAAAATTACTCTTGAAACAAAGTAGGGGTTCTAATTGTCGAGCTGTAATAACTATTTTTGTTGAAACCTAAATAAAAAATTCTAAAAAGCTAAATAAAAAAAGTAGGGGATCCATAGGTGGTGATTGGGGGGGCTTAGCCCCCCCCCCCTCCAAAAAAAAATATCGAAAGCCCCCCAAAATTATCAAACATTTTTCATAGTATAAAATATTAAAATAGGTACTTATTTTACAACGATTGACAAAATCTTGTCCCGAAATGTTGTCAAAATAAATAATGTCAATATAATAATAATTATTAATTATTATACTAATTATTATACCTAATCGTGTCATCGGTGCGCACCGGCTGACCGTCGCGACGGATTGTTATCGCATTATCGCAATGACAAAAATAGAAATTTCCGATAATCAGACTGATAAACATTATTAATGTGCCGATTGCTGTTTCCGGTTTCGTCTTTCGTGTTGCGTCTTTCGTTGTTGGTTGTTACTTGTTCCCTGTTGTTGTAAATTGTAATTTCGATCGAATATAATATTATATAATATAAAAAAAATAAATCGAATACAATATTATATTGTAAATGTTACCTACACGTGTCACGTTGCACTTTTCGTTGTAGTTATACCTATTTGTATTTTGTAAAACTGTGTATTACTTTGTATAACTGTGTATTACTGTAACCTGTAGTCATAGGCGCACGCTTAGCACCCTCAAGCTTTAAACTAGCACCCTCAGTTTATTTCAGTATTTCACCAATCATTTATAAACTATCGTGGTTTATTGGTTCGGAATTTTTCTTTTCATTACAAATATTGACAACTGTTTACGAA